TTTTAATGTGATAATAAATATTTTTTAGTTGAGAATGAAATTTAAGGTTTCAGGAAGGTTTTCACTATTTTTTTGATGATTCATGTACCAAATGATTAAGTGATGAACCAACTGGTAGATTCATTTATAATGAAAATAATCATTAGTTGAGCCCTAAAACAAATTGAGTACAAAAATGACCTGTGAAACTAAGAGGTATCTGGCATCTTTGTGTTTTGTCACATTGTCTTCGCTTCCTCATTGTTTAGGGTCCCACAGATACCACTACTGTATGTTTAAAACAAATAACTGCAAAATCATCCAATGTCCTCCTTTCAACTCTTTCGAACATATTTTTTCTTTTCTTCTGACCTTATCAAAACCAAATGTGCACATTTGATGAAGGTGACAATACACAGAAATGACCATAGAGCATTGTTAATACACCAAATAAGGATATATAAATAGTTGTATATATGCTATATGGGCTATGCAAGAACAAATAATGTATATATTTATTTTATCTGCTAAAAAGAAGTAAGTCAAAGTAAAAGACAGAGAAATAATCAGTACATCCTGTAGCTACTCATGTTTGGGGTCAAGTAGACCCCAGAGACCACTCTTCTGTACAAACTGTTAACTCCAATAACAGAAATCCAAATAGACTTATTGGGGATTTTCAGAGTGGGAGTGCAACCACTGTATTCAACCGTGTTTTACAGATACAGACACCAAACAGAAGTAATGTATTATAAACTGTACTAGCATTTCTTCTAAATGGATGTGTCATAAAGTATCAAGCTGATGAAACAATGTTAAATATGTAGTATGAGCTGTTAAAGAGGGCCGAGGGTCCAAGGCCCACTGCAGAACATTAGCGTTAATAACTGACATGTAAGAGCGCCTCTCACGGTATTAAAACAAGACGAGCATGTGTAACTGCAGCTGAACTACAAAAGGACACGGCTGCTCTGTGGTTCACGCCTGGAGCGATTATGTCGACAATTTAACTACCCATCACTAAATGTTTTATTGTGCCTTTGTTCTCATCAACAGTTCCATGCTCAGGCTTTCTTGTCTGAGTAAAGAACCCCCAGGATACACATGGATTATAGATAAAACGCCCTTCAGCGAATACGCTGAACTAACATGAATATTTCAATCAGCAGCACTTAGGGGTAACACGGTTGTCAGGAGATGGAGGGCCACAATAGAGCCGACATGACAACCGAGCAATGTGAATTGCCTTCAGGGTATTTATGGTCTCTTTTCTTTTCATTTCTAGGAAATATTTACTACTGCAAATAATGATAATAATGTGTTTTTATAGAGCAAAACAACAAACCAAAATTGCAAGATAAGAACAACTGAAACCCAAACAAGCAGCCACAATAATGAGCCGAAAGTGTGCATATCAAAACCCACAATAAAAGAAAAAGACGAGCACAAAACCCAATAAAATGAATTCAAGATAATGTGATGTTTAGGAGTGAGTGGAAGGAAGACTCTGACATGCTGGCAAGAACTCCTCTGGCAGCAAATATTGTATTTATCCATGCCTTTTTATGCCGTCCATGCATGCAGCCTTTCATTTATTTTGACACAGTTCAGAAAGATATAGCGTGAAAGCAAATGGGAATTTTTTTTACAAGATGTGCTTTTTGGGAGGTATAAATACAGTTCTCATGCAAACAAGGGCATGCTTTGCCCAAAAGTGTGTATTACTACCCTGAACTTCATCTGATGAAAAAGAGAGGACTTTATCTCTTCATAGGACAAGAATATAAACTAGTTTTTATCCCTGGACATCTGATGTTAAGTTGGGAAACAATTTTTGGGGGCTTTTGTTGTTCCAACACAGAGATTAGGAGTAGGAGGCAGGGGCATTTTCTTACCTGACATGACCAGACAGTAAATAGCAGCAGCACCCAAAAGGCTTCAGGTGGACCCATCCCCAAGCTTCTCTCTCCTTCAGGTGTCCCACGTCTTGACCCAGGTTTTGGCTCACCGCAGGCATAAACAACAAAACACACGCCGCGTCTACTTCAGGTAGCACTGGACTGGACTGGAGTGGCTGAATCCCCTCTGGCTGTAGCAAAAGAACACAGTCCTGGTGGTGGCTGCATGCTGAGGAGAGCCACTCAGGCAACAACTGGAGAGGACAACTGCTGTCTTAGAGAAGGTGAAAGGCGGTGGGAGGGGGAGGAGGAGTTGGAGAAAAGCATAATTATCTGTTTTGTCTATACATGCAGTGGATACACAGTTTGTTAATGTATGTGTGCACTTGTGAGTGACACTGCATGTGAGATAGCACCCTTGGTTTGGGCCTCATGAAGTTATGCTAGAAAGTGTAGAAATAACACACGTTATGTTTAGAGTCCAGAGTGAGGATTTGCTGCTTTTCTTTGTCTTATGTGATAACAACATATCTATCATATTTGGGACAGTTATTTTAGGACGTGGCCTTTAGGGCATGAGGGAATTGTAACAGGCGTTCTCTCCCAACGTTGAGCTGATTAAGACAATAATTGTCAGATTGACTGATAATGAAAATTAGTTGCAGAGGTATTGTTTTTTTTAATAGTAGTGCTGATGCAACACCTCAGTTAAGGCAGCAATGCCAAAATTATATATTTTTTTCATTGCCTTTGGGGATTATTAACATGTTTATTTTCTATTTCATATAACATGTCAAACTTTTTCTGAACACAGGCAGCCGTGCAAGAACTTTTCCTAAATAAAAGAAGTATAACCTTACAACTAGCAACATTATTGATTAGAAAATCAGGAACTCTCTGATGAAAGAATAAACGTAAAAAAAAATATGAATCAACTTTCAGCCTGAGAGTTTTAAGCATAATTGGAACTCATTATACAAAACACCAATTAGTTTTTTTACGGTATTTTGCATTCATTGGCCATGTCATGAAATAAAAAAATGGGATAAAATGATTATTGCAGTCAATATCAGAGTATTTCATTTCACCATTGCAGTGGGCTAAACTGTGCCTAAAGGATAACTGCTTATACTAGCATCAGGGTCTTCTAACAGTTAACGGTAGCTAGTGTACATGCTAATCTTTAGCATGGAACATGTAGCATTATCATGTTAGCATGAAAGTTTGACCATGTCGGTGCCTGGTTGAAGTCAGAGAACCGCCAAAATTATTATTTTAACCTCTGAGGACCATAAGTTGCATTTATCTTCCGATAGTTGCCGACATATTTAGGATCAAAGACTATTGGACGGACTGACAACATTGCTATCATTAGCCACTAACGTAACCTTTGGTGGTTTAAGACAAATAGAGATAGAACTTCTTCCCTTTACCTTGTTCTTTCTTGGCTTTCACACCATCTCTGTGGACTCTGACATCTATCGTCAGTACACACAAACTGAAAAGGAATAAAATATGAAACCTTTCCTGAAAAAGGTCGGTTTTAAAGCTCAAAAAGGCATGAAATATGCACATTCCCATGTTTGCGCTCACCGTGGGTGTAGTTAACGCCAACTGTGACTGCACTGGCTTTAAGTCAGTTTTTAGTCAGGTCGTCTATATTTAATTGTGAAAGAAAATAGCGGCTAAACACTCTTGTGTTCATCTGCTTCCTCTCATTAAAGTTTCAGCATCGTTGTTTCCAATGTTAGATTTACTGCAGATGTCAGGATGAACAGAAGAACAGTGGAGATGGAAGATTAGTCTCACCAAATAAAAAGGTGAATGAGGGAAGACTGGGGCAGGAAGAGAGAATGATGTATCCTCAGGCTGTAGTGCACAATGAATACAGAATACCAGCACTCTTTCACTTGAGAGTGGAAATTAATAAAAAAAACTGGCCCGAAGCCAGTTCCCTGACAGCAATTTAGAGGATATCTTTGACTCAAATTTGACAAGCAAGTACAAGATGTCTGTGTGCTGCTGAAGAAAGTTATTCATGCATTTATTTCAATTTAAACTCCCCGTGTTCTGCACTTACAAAAAGCACTTTGGAGTTGGTTGCTCGGCTTTAAAGTAGAACTCTCTATTCCTCCAACGAATTCCAGTTGCTTTAAGAATACAATGTACGCTTTTATCGATCGATGCGTTCGATTGATTGGCCCTGGCCCTATTTTTCTGACCTTTCAGGATAACGGCGCTTAAGCGGCCATTTGGTGCATTGTCATATACCACTCTATTTAGGCTGCCTCTTTTAATCGATATGCTCTATGTGGTCATCAAGTACCCCATAACCATCTTCAAAATGTTAGAGGAATCCTAGAGGCAATAGATCACGTGCGGATCAAACAAGTCTACAGACACAGTGGCTCTGTGAGGCTGTACTTAGCTGCGCTAGATGAAGAAAAAAAAAGACATAATCAGCGTTTATATTTCATCCTAAGAGGAACATAAATGTCTACCACATTTCCTGGCAACCTACTAAATAGTTATGCAGGCTGTTTGTGGTCAGTGGAATTAGGGATTAATCCTCTCTGCACCACGCGTACACTTTTATAGCGGCCTTTCTTTCAGGTGGCTAAAATGTGTTTTGCTGCCCCCCCGTCCCCAGCAGCACATTAATTTGCTCCCGTGCTGCTTCTCCAAACTGGTGGCGTGCCGACTTGCCAATCTACTGAAGGCAATTCACTGACTATCTATAAGTGCCTCTTACAACTCCACTTCAAAATAAATCCAAACCATCCCTTTAACTGGCTTGTGTTGTACTGTATGCAGTCATCAAGCACCCTGTAACCATGGACATTATGAAAAAAGAGATGGAAGTGCAGACCTAAAAACAGCACACAGAAGAGTTCCTGGTTGGAGAGCAGCAGATGGTCTCTCTGCTCTTCAAAGCCTTTTTCTCTGTTGGCTTTGCTTGAAAAGCATTCAATAAAACTAAATCCCATCATATTAACTTAAATGTACATAATGTACTTTTTATTAAAATGTGTTTCTCAGTCACTTCCCCACACAACTATACATAGAAAGACCTGGAGGCAATCATGTACCACAGTTTGGTTTGTTATGTTGAAAAAATATAAAACAAAGTTTCACAATATAAAAAATAAAAAAAATGCACTGCCCCAGTTCCCTTTTACAAAGACATGTGCTCCGCGAGGAGCCGCATAATAGCACCGTGATGAATTACACTCCAATATACATCACATAACAGATAATCATAACAACAACATGACAACAACAAACAAAAAAACAACACAGCAAATTGAGGTTTGATGATATCACAGAACAACGTGTTCGGTGAATGTTGCCTAAATACGGTGTGTTTGTATATTCATGACGATGACTCACTGATCGTAATGTTGACTGGTGTAAGTATATCTATAGGAATTGAGTGCATAGATCAATAAATGTATGAATAGACATGGATGAAACAGTGGGAGCACCACTCACTCCTCCAGAAAATGTAAATGTGTGTAACTGAGGATGCGGTTGACGGTCAATACATTTTATATTTACTGCTCTTGAAAACACAATATGCCAGTGAGTTGTGAGAATGTATGAGAGGAATAAGATGAATTAAGGAGAGTGAATGAACGTCTGTATGACAGAGTGAATGTTTAGATGAAGGAACACTGTTGTAGGTAAATCAACTTATAAATATGTGGCACCATAAAGTCTTGAATGTAGTTTTCTCCCTGCATGTAAAAAGTGTCCATGGCTCTATTAAATTACTCCTGTTGTAATCTCCCGGCTCGGTTAACCGTTGTAGCAGACCGGACCGACTTGGAAACCAAATTTCTGGTTCCCCTTCCCAAAATCGGGCACAGCCACGTCGATGATGGGGAGCGTGTTGGAAAGCGGAGCGTCAAACTCCAACACCGTCCTCTCTTGTCCCGAGCGCGTCTACAGCAGAGAGACACAATCGAACAATCAAAACAAAAACAACGTACGTGTACGCGTTCACACTCTGTCTGTGCAATCGTGAACACTCACCTGACACCCGTCGTACAGCGCACTGATGTAATGTGCGTTCTCGTGCGTTAGCTCCTCCCCGTTGGCGCCTCTGAAGCGCAGTGCATGTTCGTGGCTGTAGGTGGCGACGTGCAGCCAGGCGGCGGAGTTGAGGCAGTGGTAGGTGAAGGTCTGCTTGGCAGTGGCGCTGAGCAGCTGCAGGAAGGTCAACTGGACCACGTGGACTGGAACGTCGTCCACCCCGGAGTAGGAAATCTGGTGGAGAGCACCGGAATCACACGCATGTAAAGTACACAGGTAGTTGTGTACGCTCAATCCTATAACCACAACAGATTGAGTAATGGAAAACACTGGATTACTACTAAATTTGATTAGACTAAACAGGCACCATTTTGACTCTACCAGGTCTTTGTCAAGCTAAAATGACAAAGAGAAAGTGCACGCGAGTACAAAATTGTTGACATCAATTTAGATTAAAAAGAAAAAACATGTTTTTTTCAGATATTTCACTAAAAGACAAATACGTCGACCTGCTGGTGGCGCTAGAGGTAAATTCAGAGAATCACCAAAGTCAGCTGGACTCGTCTTCTGAAAATCTTGAATGTCTGTACAAAATGTTATTGCAACCGATCCAATATTTGTTGAGATATTTCAGTCTTGACCAAAGCTCGTTTCGATAACAATGGTGTATATATATTCTGTTTTTTTTATTTAACCTTTATTTAATGACGAGCGTCATTCGGGGGGGGGGGGGGCCTGCCAGCCTTTTGTTTGGTTTTTCTTCTTGTCATAATAAGCAGTAGTTTTTCATTGTGGTAATGTGTGCTCCTCACATTACTAAGACGTACTGCAAGTCTTCTTTCTCTTTTGTTGAACAAGTCCCATTTTGTTTTGTCGGAATACCTGACAGCGCCGACAGCGAGGGTTGTGTTGGATGGGAATGTTACTCCGGCCCCATTAATGTCATGTCAAAGCCATCAGATCGACTTAAGTTAGACATCAGGCAGCAATCGGATTATATCAGTGATGAGCCGACCAGACGTGCAGGAGTTATCGGATTGACAAACAAGCCTCAGCTAATTCTTCTAATGCAGTGTTTTCCTGTTACAGAACAGACAGGCTGTAATGATAAATGACTTAGTAATAAAAACTGAGCAGCGTTGTATGACACTAATGTCAAATGTTGTAAATGCTGCTCCAAGTACCCACTTAATAACATGCTGAATGCTTCTCTATAGCCAACAAGTGCTGCTAATTAGCATTCAACCAAAGATGTCCCACATTTGCAGCAGTGATTCAACTATTTCACATCTGAAATCTTCCTCTATGAAGTCTTGTATAAAAACACACACACCGACGTTGATCGATATCATGCAAAACCATCACACCATACCTGTTTTCCTTTCCTGAATTTACTGTACCAGGTGTCGGGCTTCTCCCCTTTCCAAGCTGCTAACTTCACCTGATGGCAAACAAACACAAGTTCACTAAATCAACACACAGATGATGACTGAATACAGTTTAATCTCTTTCTGAGAAGTCATTCAGTAACTGTTGGCTTTGAACAGGAGTGTGTGCGTGTGTGTGTGTGTGTGTGTGTGTACTAACCGACTGGAACTTCTTGTCAGGCTGCAGACATGTGTCTCCCTGTGCAGTGAAGTTACAAAACACCTTGAAGGAGTCTCGATGGCAACCCTGGTTGGGATCTATCCAGTACTCACCTGGAGAGAGAGAGAGAGAGAGAGAGAGAGAGAGAGAGAGAGAGAGAGAGAGAGAGAGAGCGAGAGAGAGAGAGAGAGAGAGGGGGGGAGGGGTTAAAAAAAAAACTAAGACTAATAACTGTCAACGCCAAACAGAGGAAAACCATACATATGGTATCAGATAGAGAAATAACACACATACATACAATACAGATAAAATGAGTTTACAGATGCAGGCAGCTGTGAAAACAAATGGCGAGCGAGAGACCAACTGATGAAGTACCGTTGGGGAGCTCTGGGTGGAGGAGCCACAGCTCCTTGCAGGTGCGGGCGGGGCTGTGGTACGTCCCTTGTGGGTTACGCAGACCATCCACCTCTACTTTCATAGAGTTCAGAGACGCAAACACCTCCTCCATGCCTTGGCCCTCCTTCTCCTTCATCCGACCGTCCTGCTCCGCCTGATCCCGCTGCATCCATTCCTCCTCGCCTCCGTCCATCGCCTCCTCCTCCTCCTCCTCCTCCTCTTCAAGTGCAGCGCCATCCACCGAGGTGTGGGTTCTCCGCCTCCGTCCACGCTCCGGCAGAGGGGACATGCCAGCAGCTGGCTTTCCCTGAGGAAAGGAGGCACATACGGGTAGTGGACAAGTTGAGGATGCAGCACAAGACACATTTTAACACACGTTTTTATAATTATAAGTTATGAGAGTTGTATGGTTGGTTGATGCACTAAATTTCTTTAAGCAGAACTTACTGGTGGTCCTGGATATCCTGCAGGCCCGGTATCTCCTCGAGCACCAATTGGACCCTAAATACACACAGAGCAAAGGCATTCATTCAGGGTGGTATGAAGCAGCAACGTGACAGTACGGACTAATTCAATCAAATAAAACAATGAGCATCACAGTTACCTGGTTTCCTTTAGAGCCCTTTGTACCAATACCACCCTGGGAGAGAAGTAAAGAGTTAAAGCTAAATCCCGATGCGGTCGGTGGTGATGTCTATTTTTGCACGTCAAGATTACTTTGTATACTCACGGATAGACCATTGATGCCGGGGGGTCCGGGGGGACCTGATGGGCCGACTAGACCCTGATAATAAACACAGAAGAAACCAAACTGTCAGATAACGAGAACAAGTAGATATATAGAATATAGAATATTGCCGGCTTTATCCTTTAAAGATGGATTAACTTGCTGGTTACACAGAAACCTGCAGGCAGGCTGCCTACTTAAGGCTTCAGGCTGCCTACTACTTTTGTCTATTGTTTGTATATATTTTAAGCACCTCATCTCCTTTCGGACCCAACAGTCCCTGGTTGCCTGGCAGTCCTCTGTCGCCCTTTTCTCCGACGTCCCCTGGTGGCCCGATCAGACCTATAAGACCACCGTGACCCTGCACAGGTGACACAAATGAGCTCAAGATCAAAGGTCAGAGTGAATATTTATGTGTGTTAAGTATGCACGCACCTTGTCTCCCTTCTTGCCATGGTCTCCCTTTAGTCCTGGCAATCCCGTTGGACCCTGAGGGACGAAGTCATGATGGGATTAAATGCAAATTGAAACATACTGTCCTTGAACTTTATTATTTTTCTTAATATTACTTAATATTTTTCCTGTATTATGTTTATGATTTGATGAGTCATCTTACCATGGGACCTGGGGGTCCTGTCTGGCCAGGTGGTCCATTTAAACCCTGATCACCCTGAGACACACACACACACACACAGAGAACATTTTTAACCTCCATCTCTTTCATGCTCCGCTTCAACCGCTTCATTCTTCCCTGCCAGACTTACTCCAGGGCCGGGGATCCCTCTTAAACCTTTAGGGCCTGGCTTGCCGGAGTGTCCCTGGGCACCTACGGGCCCCGTCTTCCCTATGGGACCCTCCAAACCGGAAGCACCCTGAAACAAAACGGCGAACAGGGTGACCTCCAGAAGCTGCGAGCATTCAGCTGTTATTACTCGAAGAGTTTCCAAACACTCACCTTCGCTCCTTTCAGACCCCCCTTTCCGTCTTTTCCTTTTTTTCCCAAGTGGCCCTGAGGAGCAACAATTTAAAACATTTTAAACTCTCAACACACAGATGCATCGATGCACAAATTTGTCCTTTTACCTTTTATATTAATTAGCATTGTCGGAGGGAGCCTGAGACTTAAGTTTTTCATTGCCAACGACTACTTCTCTGTAATTGTTGTGCATATGACAAAGAACTTGAACACACCGTGAGAATGCAAAAAGAAAAACACCCTCAACCTCGTCCTCACAGAGGAAGAGGGTTTAACTGTTTACTTAATCAAACAGGAAGTAAGATGATTCTGAGCGAACACAAACCCTTCGCCCAGGAGGTCCAGAAGGTCCAGGTTCTCCTGCTGCTCCTGGTGGTCCCTGAGAAATATGAAGAAACTATTGTATGGCCAGCCATTGCATTGTATGGTGACTGCATCTTTAATGTTTATGAGTTGTCATGGATGTTGTGGTGTGTGATGTAGAAGGGAGGAGCTCACAGATTTCCCAGGGTCTCCTGTGTCTCCCTTAGACCCGGCCAGACCATCCACCCCCTGATGAGGTAAGAGAAATAGTGGTCAGATGAAAACTACACTTCTCTTACACCAGATAATAGATTTGAAGCCATGGCTTTTCCATAAATCTTTCCAAAATAAAACACTTTAAAGACTCAAACTATTACCTTCAGACAACCAAAACAAATGCATATGGTGTTTAATATAAATGATTATGTGTATTGATCTTTGATATTTCCCCTTGTTCCGTAAAAAATATTTAATGTTTCGTTCTATCGATCACAGAAAAATGTTTCTTTTAAAAACGACACAATTCAGAAGGACGACATGTTTAAGTGACATCCCTAAAATCAAGGAAAGTCATGTGTTTTATCCCAGAAAGATAGTTTTGGTCAGCCTACGCTCTGGCAATTTCACACGATGTTTCCATAACTGAAAAAAGGATTAGAAGAAGAACAGAAAGAGCAGGAACTCACATTGGGTCCAGCCTCTCCCTGCTGTCCGAGGTCCCCGGTGAGACCTGGAGGACCCTGAGAGAGAGTTGAGCTGGTTTAGTGTTATATTGTAAAGCATTCGTGTGTTTTTGAATCATGCACTGTGCTAAAAAGTGTGAGAGTTCGTCGAAATGAATATTTTTCTTTTACAGATAACAGCTCGAGAATGCAATTTGAACCAAATACGTAATGTTTAGCTTTTCTATGTGTACAGTAAAGTAACTAAACTAGAACTACATTAAAGTGCATTGTACAGAATAATAAGGTTCCAAGTGTATTGCAGAGCTTTATGTTGCATCATATTGTACAGTGTAAAACTGCAGTATTGAGGAGTGTTTGTTGGTCTGATTGTTTCTCACAGAGTTGCCCTTGGCTCCGTCCTCTCCCGTTAGGCCCCTGGCTCCTGCAGGACCCGCTGCTCCTGGAAGGCCCGTATCTCCCTTCTCCCCCTGGTCTCCTTTTCCTCCCTAAAGTAGCGGAGGAGCAGAGCGAGCGATTAAGAGCGCTGAGAGGAGACGAGCAAAAGAAGCTCACGGAATAAGCTGAAGATGGTGGGAGCGCGTTTTGAAGACGTCTTTGAACAAGCAATCAAACTCACCAGTCTTCCTGGAAGACCAGCTGCTCCAGGGTCACCTGCCTCGCCATCCTCCCCCTGAGAGAGAGAGAGAGAAATAATGTGTAAGGTATCCAGGAAGGGAGTGTTTGCAGGGGAAGGAACAACGTCGTCATGCACACAAAAGGTGTAACTGTCCATTCTTTACCTTCTCTCCAACAACACCTGGCTGTCCTATCATCCCGAGTCGTCCAGCCGGACCCTTCACAGAACACAAGGAATCACAGTATTTCTCCAGATTTCAAAACAAGTGCTCGACTAAATGAGGACGCTTAAACATTACTGTGAGACTTACCTGTCCCCCAATAGCTCCCTGAGGACCAGAGGGGCCTTGTTGACCAGGTGGACCCTAAAACCAGGTGTGTAACGAGGAAGAAGTAATAAAAATCAGTTTATTCATTTGTGTGTAAGAGGAGGAGTAAATAAGGGACAGATCTTTAAACAGAATATCAGCTCACCATTAGTCCCACATGTCCGCTCTCACCCTTCTCTCCTGGTAGGCCGGGCATGCCCTGAGAAAAACACACACAGGATTAGAGGATTTAAGTGAAGAGAGACAATGTCACCCTGTCTATTCTGAAGACATCGCTTCAATGACTGACTGCTGTACAGGTCTCACCTGTAATCCTATTGGTCCTCTGGAGCCCTTGAAGCCGCGGAGTCCCTCATCTCCCTTCGGACCGTACATGCCCTGCTGGCCCCGGGGGCCCCGCAGTCCATCTATACCCTGATGCACAGAGGAGAGAGAGTGTCTTCATGACTTTTAAATGTAAAAATGGATTCCCCTAGTGTGATGTAATTCCTGTTGAAACAGGTTCTTTTGGCGGGAGAATAAACAGTGACGGATCTACACAAAGTACCAATAGGATATCATTTATGAAGTATTATGATTTGATAGGACTGGCAGAAAGGCAAGATTGCAAAAAAAAAAAAAAAAAAACTGTGATGTAGCGACTTTTTACTAGTGCAGCTTAACAGTTCGATTTTTTGGGGGGATGCGCTTATGGGCTTTCTTGCTGAGAGTTAAGGCTTTTATACACACAACAACACAAAAATGCACACGAAACTATTCACATCGGCAGCGATTTGCTTTTTCACCAAAAGGTTCAAATAGATTACCGCAGACAGACGACCAACAAACGGGATCATGTTGACCCAGAGCAGAGTCTGGAAGGCTGTCTGTCTCGCCACAAATTGTAGATTTTACACTCTGGTCTTTGTTCAGGTTAAGTGACCGAGATATAACGTTTATGTTTATAAGTGGGCTTTTGTCCTCTTATCTAACTCTCAACAGCAATCAGGTCTCAAAGACCACATTTGTTGTTTTTTTCAGATTTGGACTGAGTGGACTGAGAATATTAAGCCAACATATAATATTATTCATATCATTTTATTTCATCTCACAACTTTTTCTTTTCTTTTGTTTTTTTAAAATATTAAAAGCTCCACGTGTTAAACTGTAGATAATTAAAGCTAATGATATAAAAGAAAACCTCTAGAGAAGCTGTGAAATGTTTTATTAAACGTGCACAATGCAATATGAATCTACTTGTAGTAATAATGATACTATTTAAAGTGATCAATGTGAAACCAATGCTTTTCCAAAATGATTATTCCTTTCACAATTAATGCATTTTGAGTCCAAGACAAATATTCAAACCGCAGTTATAACAACCAGACAGTGAGTGTGGGAAACAGAAAGAAAATATACATAAGAAATGTGAACACGTCTCATCATAGTTGTGCAACGGTGCGATTTGCGGTCTTTCAGTTTTGAAGACACTGAACAAAGGTAAACAGAATACAAAGAGCAGATTGGACTCACCGGAAGTCCCGACTGACCAATTACACCTTGAATGCCAGTGGGGCCTGAGGGGCCCTGTGGAGAGAGAGAAACATTCAGACATGATCAGATCTACTCTGTTTCTTTTGTCACAGTCCACGTTGATGTACTTCTTCAGCTCCAGACTCACTAATTCCCCTTTGTCTCCTTTGCTGCCTTTCTGCCCGGACAGTCCCTGCTCCCCCTGTGGACGAACACGCAGAGAGAGGACACAAAATGTATCATCACAGTACAAACACACACACACCATCTCTTTGTCTCTCTGACTCACAGACACACGCAACTTTACCTTATCCCCGTCGTCTCCTGGAGGTCCTGCAGGGCCCGTAGCCCCTAGCATCCCCACAGGACCCTGATCTCCATCCTGACCCGCTGGTCCCACCGGACCCTTCTCTCCCTGGAACACAGACACATTCAACACATGTTATTCTGCATTAGAGCTAAATACACACACACACACACACACACACACTCACACACACAGGCATTAAAAAAAACAACTGAATCAAACGGATGTTAACTCAAGTGCTGAAAGTATAAAAGGGCGTCAATCAAGTGTACTAGAAATGAGTCTAGAGGAAACGTATAATAAAATAACTACTAAATACAGAAAGGTATAAAAAAGGAGGCGTAATTACAGGCTCGCCCTTCTCTCCCATTGGTCCAGGTCCTCCGATTGCTCCGGCCCGACCAGGCTGTCCGATGGCACCTGCTGTTCCAGGAGTGCCCCTCTCACCCGTCGACCCCTACAGACAGCACATGTTGGTCCTTGAGCGTCTTTGCGATTAAAAGTACCGAGGCAACGAAGGCCACAAATGACGGCTGCATTAAAACTGCTGGAATCACGACAGTGTTTGATACTGTTTTTGATTAAAAAAAAACATCACAAAACAGTTGAAAAAAATGTTGATAATTTATGTGAATTTGTTCAGAGGGAATAAATAGATCATGGTGTCATTGAACATGTGTTGGATATTGCACTGAAAACACACGCAACTAAAGAAATATGCTTTCATTTCACAAACAAAAAATAGATTTAGAAGTCATCCAGAACAGGAATTGTATTAAAACACAAAGGGATGTACTGTAACTCACTATGGCTCCTGATGATCCAGTAGGTCCTGATCCTCCTTTCAGACCAGGAGGTCCCTGGAAAGATCATACGTCATTTGAACTATGTTGCTGAAATAATTCATAATAGAAATCAAGTCATTTGTATGTGTATCTGTGAGCGTTACCATAATTCCGGGGGGTCCTCTGCTCCCCCTGAACCCTTTCAGTCCTTGAGGACCATTCTTTCCAAATGTCCCAGGTAGACCTGGATCCCCCTGAGACACAAAAAAAACATTGTACAAACAAAACACATACGCTGAATCTATGAGAAGTTGACGATCAGTGTTTATGTGTGAGTGACAGTGTGGACTTACCTTTCCACCTTCCTTCCCAGCAGCCCCTGGTAAACCGTGCTCTCCAGGTACACCCGGTGCCCCTGGGTGACCCCGGTCCCCCGTAGGACCGGATTCACCTGATTTGCCCTGAAACACACACAAGGTTAGTTGTACAATAGAGAGACGAAGTCCCTCCCGTTCTGGCGTTCCCCATGGGACCTTATTTTATAAAAAAAAATATGGACGATAGTCAACAAAATTAGACTTGCTTAAAGTTTAATTGACAAACATCATATGTGTAATTCATGGAACAGGATCAAATAATTATTTGTCTCTCGTCGTTTATTTTCTAAAATAAGGTCCCATGGTGATCCACCGGAAAGGGGCGGTGCTTAGCCTCTGTACTACAGACAGAGGCAGGAGGAATATTACATAACAGAGCAAAGTCACATAGTTGAACTCACCTGTGGCCCCACAACACCTGAGGGTCCTGGAGGCCCCGTCTTCCCTTGGAATCCCTGTGGCCACAAAGAAAGATGGATCGAAAACATCATATGGTGTGTGTGTGTGTGTGTGTGTGTGTGTATGAACTCTTGTGAAATTTGACCTCACTCACCGGCTCTCCTCTTTGACCTGGGTGACCTGGAAGTCCGTCTTTCCCAGCTGGACCCTACACATGCATGCACACAGAACCACACAGACACACAGACACACAGACACACAGACACACACACACACACACACACACAAAGACTAAGGTGAGAAAATAAATGGGAGCTCAGGATAAAAAAGGACTTTATTCATTGAGCTATCCAAACATAAGTGCAGGATTTGTGACCTGTAGGTGATTCACAGCTGCATAGGAGTAGGATTTCGTTCCAGAACCTTCTCAGTCAGAATTCTTTTTTTGTCAAAAAACAACTAAGACTCTTGAAGCAACATGAAATATTGACACCTTGCCACCTGCCATCCAAGCCACGATATCGAATAAAAAGAAAAATCAGATGCTGTCTTAGAGGTCAAACTCTGCTTGCCAAGGTTTAGAACTTTTTGTATTTTTGAAAGGTTGCGTTTCCGCTGTGCAGGTTTGTCGATGAATGTTCCTGGTCTTGTTATATTTATGTAAGGTTGAGATTGCTGTCCTTGGTTCGTTCTTATTGTGTTCCTATCTTCAATCTTCCTAAAAACCTAAAAACCTTTATAAAAAACAATAAAATTGATTTGGAATAAAAGAGTTTTTAGCAGTGGAAAAGGGATACATTTACTATATGTACCTGGGAAACTATCCATAGCATTTGTCAGAATGCAAATCTGGTATGTTATATCTCCTTGAGTCGTCCCAGAACAAGAGAAGACTGGGTGGAGTGGAGTGAAGCGGTGGAGTAAAGCTAAACATTATGACTAATAAATCAATTTTAAATATGTGTGTGTGTCGTGTCCCAACTCACGCCTGATCCTTTAGGTCCCGACTCTCCATTCCTTCCTTGCGGCCCTTGAGGCCCCTAAAAAAAACCCACAAATAGCCATTATAACAGGCGATCAATCAACTGGTCAATCAATTAATAACATATATTAACCGTGTTTTTCTTACCCTCTCTCCAGGAGATCCTGAGGGTCCATCATGTCCGGAGATGCCCTATGAAAATGGAAGAGAGGAGAGGAACATGGGAGCAGTGATGGATAGAAGCGCAGCTAATAGCGCAAGTGTATTCACCCATTAACAATGACTGACGGGGTGCTGCTATTGGCTGAGAGGAGAGTCAGCTGACCTTTTCTCCTAATTTCCCAGTCGGCCCTCTTGCCCCTCTGCCACCTCGTGCGCCCTGCGGTAAAAGAAACATGTGTGAGACCAAACCCAGGACAGCCATGAACTGTTACTGACCCGAGACAGAAGGTGTGGTTCAAACAGATCTCCAGTTTAGAAGGTAGTGACTCACTTTACAGTGAACCTTCAGGAACTTATTATGATCAGTGAACACGGTGATGACTCGGGGATCTGCAAACATTGTGACTTGAAGGTGAAAATGATAACATCAGCAGATTGTTCAGACTGTTTTAAACCTGCAATAACGGATTATTTTGGCCACCAAGGCGCAGCAGAAACAAGCTGTAGAAACAAGCAGTGTTGGAAATAAACTACCATCCACTCAATAGATTACCATTGTTTTTTGGGCTGGTGAGTGAAGCAAATCTAGCAGCCACTTGTGTAATTTACCAGCATTTGGCTGGTGGTTGGTGATCATTTCCAACCCTAAACACAACACTGAATTATTATCACCTTTTAAGTTCATATGGAAAACAGTTGCCTATCTACACACAGGGCAACATTAGCATTGATTTTGGGGTTGTCTTTCCAAGTCTTCTAGCTCTGTTTTTGGTCTCCACCAACACCGGAGTAAAATATCTGTCTCTTTAGCTGCTAAATGCTCCACTATGTTCACCAGATAGTCGTTTACTGACGTCTGCTGCAGGACAGGAAGTGTACATGAAATGTGAGAGTGACCCAAAGCAGTTGCAGTTGCCGGCAGATAAAACAAAAACAATGAGCTGAAAGGCTCTAAAAAGCTGGGTTTGTCCGACCTCCATTTCATTTACATGATACAATATCACATGATACAGTGTTACTATAAAACGATTAGCTATAGCTGCTTTATTGTACTATTAACAGTGCTTACATTTGTAGGTGTAGTGAAGCAGAGATGCAGTGTTATTTACCTCATAGTCTCCAAGTATGTTCATACATAATCTAGACATTTATTAGCTTTTCAGGTTAAAGTGAGCCTCTACAAGAAAACCCTTGAGTTACAAACGGACAGCTAATGGATGAGAGGATATCTGGGAGAGGGGGCGGGACTATAGCTCTCTATTTCCAGTCATCTGACTCACCTGGTTTTGCACTCTGGATATTTTCTAAAGAGCTCAACTTGATTTGCTTTTCAAAAATATCTCACTTTCTTTCATTCATTGCCTGAATTCGGGAATGTTTCGAGGCTCAGCACTCACATTTGGACCCCGCTGGCCTGCGCCTCCTGCTTGTCCTGCGGGACCCTGGGTAACACCAAAAGAGACAGAACATTAATGGGAAAAGTCTGATTTCCTGACACAACATGATCATGATTTTTAAACCTTCTACTCACTTTCTTCCCTTTCTCTCCTGCAGCTCCCAGTGAACCAGGAAATCCATCAGAGCCCTGAAGAGTAAGAGGAAGCAGCACACATTCACTTTGTTTAAATCATATCGACAATATCTGTAACTGGTTGAGATTAATAGAATCAAACATTGATCATTTTAGTCATTATTTTACCTTTGGCCCCAGTCGCCCCGGATATCCTGGCAGCCCAGGAACTCCCAGTTTCCCCTAAAAAAAGAGACAGATTGACTCTTAACTCGTCTTGTACAAGTTTAAGAACTTCTAAAACAAGGTTAAGAACATTTAAGGATATACTTTTATCAGTTTTGCTTTGTACCTTCTCCCCAGAAGTACCAGAAGTGCCAGCGCCTCCTAGAGGACCCAACTGTCCTTTCGGTCCCTCAGGCCCATCTTCTCCTCGGCCGCCTGTAGGTCCGTTGTCTCCATCGTCCCCTTTTGCTCCCATCTCCCCTTTGGACCCTGGGAAACCATCCTCCCCCTGCAGACAGAACGATTTGGAGACAGAAAGAGAATCACATAAACGTAAAATCACAGATGTCGGTGAAAAAGTAGCATGTGGTTGATTTGTGGGGGTATAAAATGTTATTATCAGACAGCCAAACATCCTGAATGTGCTCGGACTGATAATCTTTTCTGTCTCTCTCACCTTTTCACCTTTGCTTCCCTTTAATCCTCTTATTCCGTCTGCTCCCTGTCAAACAGGAGAGAAAACCAAACAGGAAGTCAACAAAAAAAACGTGAAATGATGATATTATATTCCTGGCTGTAGATGACATCTTCACGAGGAAGCGAGAATATCAAACTGCTAGCATGCTTTGCCATTAAACCTGTGGAAACAATAACCTGCTTATTCTTTTGACTAGGAAATGGCGATGATGTCTTGGAAAAGTAAACTTTTCTACAACTACAAAAGCGAGCCTTATTTTCCGAACTGTCTCATCCATTCCATCCATTTTCATCCACTCACAGGAATATTTCACGTTTGCATTTCCCACCTTAACTCCTCGTTGTCCAGGGTATCCGACGGGGCCCTGCACTCCCAAAGGACCCTACAAATGAACAGACACACATCAGAGGAATAGCTCGACATTTTGGGATTATTCGTTTTCTTGTTGGGATTTAGACGAGAGCGTTGACGCCACTCTTATATCTGTCCGTTGAATATGATGCTACAGCCAGCAGCCTGTGTTAGCTTAGCTTAGCACAAAGACTGGAAACGTAGGGGAAACACCTTAATTAAAAACAGCTCCTCTAAAACTCACTGATTAACATGTCATATGTATATATTTGTTTAATCCTTCTTGTTAACTGTAACTACAGCAACACAACATGCATACAGCAGACTTACCGGCAGGCCTTTTTCACCTGGAGTCCCTTCTCTTCCGGGGTGACCCTGATGACAAGAGGACTTGTTCATTTCTGAATTTAGGCATGCCGTTGTGATGTCAAAGTTAGGATTAGGGACAAGGGAATGCTTAATACAAGGAGTGGTACAAACATGCATGTACTTACTGAGGGCCCGTCGTTTCCAGCTAAACCCTGCATCCCTTTCTTCCCTTGAGGCCCCTACAAAGCAAGGATGACACGATCTATCACAACTCCTTCACCCCAAAGTGTAAAATCCAAATAAAAGCGTCTTACCTTCTCTCCTGGCAGCCCCACTAACCCCTGAGGACCAGGGAAACCCTGTAGGAGAGACGGAGCATCAGTATTTCTGTGCATGCATTTATGCAACCGAGTTAATGTTGGGAGTATCTGTTCTCTGCTCGTACCACAATGCCAGGGTTGCCTTGCTGTCCAGGTGCTCCGATGTCCCCTGCAGCTCCCTGTTACAAACAGGAAATGATGTCACGGGAAGTAATTTGTTAATCGGGCTCTTCTGTCTTTACTTTTTTTTTTTTTTTAATCTCTAAATGTGGAAACGCTTCACGAATTTGCGTGTCATCCTTTCGCAGGGGCCATGCTAATCTTCTCTGTATCGATTCCAATTTATTAGATGTGCTGCCTTAGCAAGCACACCTATAATAATACTCACTATGTTTCCCTTTGAACCTTGAGCCCCGTCAATTCCTCGAATGCCCTGTGAGGAGAGAAAGCAGACTGCAAGTTGCCAACTCTATAAACCAAGTATTAATTCCCCTGTATAGTGTCTATTTTCTGGTTGTACCTTCCATTACTAAAAATATATATTTATTTTCCTTTCAGACTATCAGATGACAATAAATCAAGGTGCATCGCCTCGTATCTTTAACAGAAATGTCCCTGAGGCTTGTAACATGAGCTTCCTGGGACAACAACATTATTACCAGCCACCTTGTTGGTTTTGGTTTTACCACTTCCTTGCTTGAGGCATTTAATGCTCAATTAACCAACACCGAGCACAAATATATATATTTCATACAAATAGAAAGAGTGCTTCCTCCGTGTGCTATCAGATTCTTACAAGTGCCAACTCGTGTTTCTACAAATGCAGATTACAGAGGAACTGCTTGGGGGTGTTTGCAGATGTTGTATTTGGCAAAGAGGTGGAAGTTTCATCAGATGAGGTAAGAATTACATAACATCGTGTTAACAAACCGAGAACAACTGTAACATCTCGATTATGTTTTATCGTGTGGCATCATCTGATAGTGACACCACAGCTGGATTTATGTTGGTGGTGAGCACAGCGGGATAATAACTGGTACTTTAGGTCTTTTACTGTTGTCGAGAATGGAGATTAGTGTGTGTGTGTGTGTGTGTGTGTGTGTGTGTGTGTATGTGTGTGTGTAGATTTCACACTCACAGGCTGGCCTGAGGGACCAGAACGACCTCTGGGGCCGTTCAGACCTCTGGAACCCTGAAATACACATCACAGTTAATATAATTACATGTAATTGAGTGTGTGTTCCCTTATACTTCCATCTTTGTGAGGACCAATTTGAATATTGGATCTTCAGAGATTTTTAGAAAGTACATTGGCTACTTCAAAGGGTGGTTTAAGGATCCAGACTTTGTTTTAGGGTTAAGGTAAGGCACTAAGGGATGTTTTATGACAATATACAAGTACAGAAGTGCAGTGCATAGGTTTTTACTTTAAATTAGAAGACATTCTTTTGTTTTGTTATCATCTGTAACTTTGTCCATCACGGAATAAGAAGAAAGTCGCACAGATTTAAGGAACCATAGTTACAATAGTTTGACATTAGGTGAAATAAACATAGTTGTTTTTTAGGCGAGAGTTAGAAGCAAAGATCCACATATGTACATATTAGACAAACGAGATGAAGGGCGTGTATGAAGGAGCAGTGCCAAAGTTCTGATCTACTGTGTCGAACGAATCCCTTCTCCTCCAGTCCATCTCGAATGACTTTATTAACGTCACTATTTCGTGGACTTTATTTAGCCTATCCTGTATGTTCTCTTTGGCCCGCATGTCAAGCAAACATCGGACTTCTGCAGAAGTCTGAGTCAGTACCTGTGTACATCTCAACAAATGCCCGCGTTGGCAGCCTGTGTTTTGGATCACTTCCTTAGACTAATGCCACATTAAATAAAATGGTAGTGCATTTAAATAACTCATTTATTGTGTGTTAACACTTACAGCATCGCCTGGTTGTCCTCTTGGTCCATTTGGACCCTCAGAGCCCTGTGTGAACAACACAAACGTAATACATCTTGTACATACACAAACACAAAAACCTGCATAAAGATGAACACCAACAACCACAGTGACCTCTCACCCGTTCTCCCGGCTCTCCAGAAGGACCTAGAAGGCCTGGCTTTCCCCTTTCCCCCTGACAAAATAAACCACACACACACGAGGTTGTCAATCTGTATTATGAACTAACACCACTCCCTCATTCAGCCAGATAACTTACGTTGTGTCCTTTGTTTCCAGTGAGACCTGGTAAGCCATCAAACCCTCTATCTCCCTGAGAAGAAGACACAGATTAGTTTATATTTTAAGAGGACAGAGCAGTCAGTAAGTGAACAGTGTGACCGCGATGTCAGGTCTTCTTCACCTTTCCTCCAGTCTCTCCTATCGCACCACGGCCCCCATCTGTACCCCCTCGACCCTAAAAATCACACACACACACACACACACACACACACACACGTTAGACATGTTGGATTCCTCACTGACAAACTTGAACTGTTTGAGCTACTGAGAAAAACACAATTTGATAATCATTCTGTGGAACAAGAACATAATAATAAGATGACAGAGGATGATATTTATTGAGAAAAGACTCCAGTAAATAGTCTCACCCTTTTCCCAGGTCGTCCACTTTGACCTAAGACACCTGTCTGTCCAGAAGGACCCTATGGGGGGTGAAAGAGAGTCAACTCAAGAGTCGTACAAAGAGGAGTGAGGTGCTGAGCTTGTTGCCATGACAACCAGCTAACTCACCACTGGCCCCACGTCTCCACTGTTCCCCTTCAGCCCAGAGGAACCTGTTGCACCCTGGGAATGAAAACATTCAGTTGTTCAAACAGGTCTGCTGCTTCAGGACCCAGTGTCTGCACGTGTGTGTCTACACGTGTGTTTGTTTGTTTGTTTGTTTGTTTGTTTGTTTGTGTGTGTGTGTGTGTGTGTGTGTGTGCGAATCTACCTAATAGCGGACTTGACCTATAATTCAAAATGCATCTATTGTCATGGCTTCTGCTTTTGTTTTCATTGAACTCTGGCTGCTTTCAGGGTGACTTCCTGAATCTGCAGCACGTTTTGGCACTAATTAGAGGGTGAGTGCAACAGGTCGTTTGCAAACACCACAATTAATAAAGATGGACTTGTGCTTAACTTGCAAAGAAAACAGGTGATATCCTGATTCACAATATCCGACATGTGTGTGTTTTGCTGCCTTGTTATGCATTTGTCGGTGTAAACTGTAAATCGTAAAAATCTTGAAGATAAAAAAAATAATTCTCCAACAGATCCTTCCTCTGCCCCTCCCCATCTTCTGATTCAGGAGAAAAATCAAGCAGCGGGCATATGTCACTCACCAGTGGTCCGGGTCTTCCCCTGAGGCCGAGCGGCCCTGGAGGTCCCTTCATAGCCAGCTAGAAGAGGAGGAAGAAGGAGTCAGACAGCGACACACACACACACTTCAGTGGTTCAGCTGGTTTGTGTGTTTAAGATGTAACGGTAATACTTCAGAAGCTTGTGTACCTTGGTCTGTTGCAGGATGGCCTGAGCCTGCGCCTCCTGTGCAGAAACCACAGTACCTGCCTTTGGATCACCACTTGACTGGAACTGCACATATACACACACACACACACACACACACACACACACACACACACACACACACACAAACACAAACAATATGCCTTTAAGTCAAACTCAATACTCCACCCAGTGGCCAATATGTAGCACTGCTATTCAAGTATTGCATAAATGTGCAGAAGGGTGAAATTAAAGGACAAATCTGAATAAGTTATTGGAGGAACGTGACATACGGAGGCTTCCGTACGGGACACGAGAGGTTTCTGAATGGTTTGATGAGTATGAAAATGATGTGAATCACAGTTACCAGATGTTAACCCAAACAAACACCCAATTAAGTTTTAAAGAGATCAATAAAATGACGTCTGATTGGTTTGACACAAAGTCACACACTGAGGAGCTAAAGTGAATGTTTGATTGACACCTATATAGACTACATGTTTTATATAGGCTCAGGAAAAAGTTAAGTAACGATCCGGAGCCAGCCTATTTCTCAGTTACGACATTCAAACATTTGCCCCGGAGCTCCGTAGAGGGTTAATGGGACCAAATAACTGCCAGAGCAACATCACTGCAGCTTGAGAGGCTGCAGGCAACACAGACGTGTCTTCATGTTACCGGAATGAGCATGATGTTTCCTGGGGGACCTGGTATCCCATCGGCTCCGTTAAGGCCTGGCCGCCCTGGCGGACCCTGAGAGGAGACAGAGGAGGACAGTTATGGAGACACGTCAACATGTGGTGGACTCAGCCACTCACACAGCAAACAGAGGACAGTCCTCACCAGCTCCCCTGGGTCTCCTCGAGGTCCCACTGGTCCTGTGATTCCAGAAGGTCCCGCCTCTCCCTGCAAACACAGAACAAACACACAAAAAAAAAAAAACAGCTGAGTTAGGTGGAATTATATTATATGTTTAATTGCAAGCTTCCAATTCCATAGTAAAAGACACTGCAGTTGCACGTTTGACCCCCTTTGCCCACATGCAGTACAGGTTTCTAACCTGAACACAAAAAAATGTTTGAAGTTACATGTCATGCAGCAAAATTCACTAACCTCAGGTCCCGGAGGCCCGTATGGTCCTGTAATCAGCGTTCCCTGCAGAAATTTCACAAAAATGTACTTTTTTTTTTTCCTCTGAGGTGGTTGGTTAAGGTGTGCACATACTGCACATTTTTACAGAAAAGCAAGCTTACACAGACTTCAAGTAGCTTATAATGATGCAATGAGAATACTGCTGAAGAGACCTCTATAGTGCGAATGAAATGTTTGCGGCTGCGGGACTCAATACTCTACAAGCTGTTTTAAGAAATATCAAGTATAAATGTACCTGCCAGCTTAATGAGTCTGATAATGAAATCCTCTTGACCAAACAAACTATGAACAAACTGTTTCGACATAGTCGTCCCCGTTTCTGTGATATCTTTGGTACTTCTGTCTCTACATCTATGCACGCTGAAACCCATTTATATCTGACATCCTCATGGTGGTTGGATTTTTGAGAAGTGTAAACTGATTCATTCATTTAAAAAATTATGCTAAACCTCCTGATTCATCGCTGCTGTGTTAAGTCTTAAGACATGCAGCTTTAAATTATTTCCCACATCAGATGGATGGAGAATCAAGTAAACAAGACTATGGGTGCGGTGGAATCATTTTTTTTTTTTTACGTAGCCTAGTGTAGTGCTGCGTTCCATTTAAACTGGGATGCAGGAATTTCCAAATTTCAACTGGAGAACCGCCTGAAGTTGTTGCCTAAAGTCGCCGCTTAAAAGTCGGAAATCCGGAAAGCCAGACAAACCCCAACGACGCCGACCTCAAAATCCAAGATGGCTTCTCTTAGTATTGCAATTTTCTTTTCCTAACACCTTGTGAGTACTCCTTCACATCTTTCTCTTGTCTTTTCCTAATAACTTCTCCTTGAACTCGATGGAAAAGACAGAGGACGTACTTTTTTTCCACTATTCGACCACAGTCGAAGACTTCGACAAAGCATTTAATGCCTTTATTCCCAATCTTGACAGTTTTTGGTACTCGATGCTGTGGACACGATTCAAACTGTACTAAAACATTTTAGGTACAACATTAAGCCTCCCTGTGGTTGTGTATGATTTTAAGCCTGAGTGTGTTTTCCTTACCGCTCCCAAAATGCCCGGCTCTCCTTTCTCTCCTTTTTCTGGAATGTCCTAATGAGAGGAGAAGAATATTGACAAATGAACAACGTTAAAGTAGATGAATAAGAGGCACAGATTGTCTCCACAGGATTCATTTATGTACAACTTCCCAAGATCTTGGTGTTAGATGGTTGGGATGGTACCTGTGTGTTAATAGAGTGCTCTCGTTCCCTCTCGGCCGGCCCGTAGCGATCGTCGTATTCCTCCTCGTACTCGTACTCGTTCACGTGGTAGAGATCTGATGTGTTGTCGTAGTCTTCATACTCTATGATCTGTCCAACAAACGTACGCAGAGACAAAGTGTGAGGGCCCGAAAGGAAGTTAAAAAACCACAGAAGAAGACAAGCCCACGCTCAGAGTCTCACCTCATACTCTGTGACATTAGGATCTGCTGTCACAGCGGAAATGTCTTCGTAGAAGTCACTGTAGTCAAACTCCTCAAACTCCTCCACCACATGTTTCTTAGGTACTCTCTCCACCTGAAGACAATAAAGGAAACAGAGACGATGCATGGTATAAGCATGTGTTACATGCTGTTTATATATACACAGAACATTGAAATGGATTCACTTGTTATCGCTAAGACGGGCCGCCGCCAACGCACCCGGCCGACATACTGTCTTTCAGAGACTGTAGATCCATTTTAGAGACGGAGTGAAGGTATCATCATATGGTGTCATATGAAACTAGACAGCTTAAGAAATCCACTGCTACCAACCGTGTCAGGCTAGCTTTTTGTAAAGTATAACCAAATAACGGCCAAAGGAAAAACTTTTTCAAAGGTGTCCCTTGACCTCTCACCTCAAGATATTTTTTATCACTTTACGTTTATCCCATGCAGTTTGGGGCAAAAAACATTCACATTTTTGCCTTTGTTACAAATGTGTTATCTTCGACTATTTTAAATTGAGGTTAATATAAATGATCAAATGAACAGTTTTAGGAAATAGAGCATGCCTATTATCTGTTATCTATACATGGCACAGCTACAGGTCAGTCTTTTCATTTTAGCTCCTTCAGGAAACCCTGTTTAACGGCGTGACGGCTTCATCGGAGTGTCATCCGACTACACATATTTATCCGCTGGCCGATTGCATTTCTGCTGGTGTAACAATAAAAGAACCGAACACAATAAACCAGTTGAGTCCTGAGCTGTAAGCCAGAATCATAAATCAAACAGCTGCATCGGAAGTAGATTTGAAACCGTTCCCAGGAGAAGAACCTGCCAAAGTATGAAGAGTGGAGGATAAAGAGAAAGAGAGAAATATAGTAAGAAAGAGAGGGTCAGATCTCAGTACACACTACTAGGATGATTTACTACTTTAGCTAAAAATGGAAGTATCGTACAAACGGCGAGGAAGAAACCGGCTCAGGCGCCCGAGTGATGCTTCTCAAACTGAAACTAGTAGTAATATATTCGTGTGCTAAATATCTGACTCTTCATGCCACAAATGCTTCTTCACAGCCCACAGTGATCGTTTAATTTATGGTACCGGGAGGATTTTCTCCCGAGAATACATATCTGACTGAAAAATAATTGAACCATTTGTCATTTTTTGTCAGATTAGCCGTCTAAACTGTCCATTAATACTTGTAATAGTTTCTCCTCTTACGAATGAAACCTTAGGGGGCTCCTTTGCCCCCTAAGACAGTCTGGATTTACAACATTCAACACCTGAGATGCCTCGGAGCGTGCGTTGTGTGTGGAAAGGGCCAGGTACGCTGAAAGACTTTAGCGGGGTCCACACGTGTGATTCAACTCTCTCTCTGTCTCTCTTTCTCAATCAGCCTTCTGGGATTGGCTGTGAGAAGGGGGCTCACCTCCTCCGCCTCTGCTAATATCCCGCTGTAGGGCAAAGCGGCGTCACAGTCCGGGATGTAGTCCTCACAGTACGTCTCTGCTGCTCTGGGGTCATCGATGATCAGCAGCTGCTGGATGTCTCCCTGTGTCACAACAACACCCACACACATAAAACTGAGCTGTGGCTCTACAATAGAGAAACCAGATCAGGAATGCACATTATGTCACTGCTCCTCACTGTACAATGTGTCATTAATTAGGGACAGAAGGGACATATAAACCATGTCAGAGCGCTGAGCAACAACGTAACGCTCAGCAGACAGGTAGATTTGTTTTGAATGTGCAGAAATCTTGCTGAAACACTTCATACATAACATCAGATAACTTTAAAAAAACAAAGAGCCTTATTGTATTGAATTGCCATATGCTGCCTGCATTCTGTGTTTTCTGTTCACATAAATAAAGACATTTCCACCATAAATTGGTGCATGACAATTCACCAGAATGCAGGAAAAGAAGTACATTTCCAGGGGGAGTACAGCCAGACACCTCGCTTATCAATATGTCTCCGCAGCAATGTTGAAACAATAACTATGCCCTTGCATGACGGACATGTCATACGCATCTGTCTCCCATGTTTTCATCTTCCACTGTATGTGTTCATTTAGTCAGATCAAAGTGGCTTAACTGTCTTTTTATCGTTGCTCTGCAGTTAATCGTCCCCAGAGCTTCAGTCTCAAGTGGTGCACGTTCAGTCCGCAGACGGACAAAAACTCTTTCTCCCTTTCGGCTCACACATCCGCACACACGGAGGGGAGTCCAAGTCAAACAAAGGCTGGGAGTTGTTCAGTTAAACAGATGGACCACCTGACACTCGAGAAACAAAGGTCAATGGTCACACTTGGGATCTGCCAAAGTGACCGCACACTGCTGAGGACGCAACAGAAACAGAACTCATTAAAGTCTACAAAGACTTTACACAGCTGCAGATTTGGAGGAGATTTTTCAAAGGGCTTATTGTGAGTAATCTGCTAGTTTTTGTGGGTTTAAGCAGGACTGTGGTAATCACTGCAATAACTACTGATGAGCTAGGGGAATAATTCATATTATAGGAGATCTACAAGCCTTTGCATACGTCTAATTAATTATCTGCAGCTTTGTGAAGTTCGAGCACTGAAAGTTTGTAGCAGAGGTAAAGGAGCAGTACAACCTCACGGCCACTGGAGGGCAGTGTGAGGAGAACAGCCTTTACGGTTCGTTCGTTCGTAGATATTTGATGGATAAATCGAACAAGCAGCAACAAGCAGAGACGCTTCCTTGACACACATTTTTACAAAGGTCAGATGGGTTTATACCTATCAAAGGGAGATTGCGTCATCTCTATTCCACTACCCCCTCCGTGTCTTTTACATAACACACACACACACAGTAAAAGCACACACCTCGAACACGTCTTCGTCCAACAGTCGCGTTCCGAACACGGTGACCCCCTCAGTGCTGACGTGGGGGTCGGGACCTCTGAGCAGGTCCAGGGTGTCCAGTTTCACACAGTCCAGGTAGAGAGTCACTGACTGGCCCTCCACACTGTAGGCCACTCTGTGCCACCTGGCAGGAAAGCAGAGAAGAAGAAAATCATTAACTCTCCTACTTTTTCTTTTCTGAGAAGGTTGTGTGCAGGGGAAACAAAAATAAGTGTGTGTATAGCTGCCTGTGTGTGTTTTTGTGTAGTCACCCACTTGCCATCAGCCAGGTTGATCTTTCTAAAGGTGGGGTACAGCTCTGGAGGTGGCTGACCCTCGTGGTTCTCGTACAGGAAGACGGGAGAGCGGCCGACCTCCACGCCCAGCTGCTGTGTGCCCTGAGAGACAGAAGGAACGAGGGATGATATGATGATGGGAAAAGGGAGATGTAGTTTTCATGCCAGACAACAAAAAACAAATCATCAGCTGGTGTATTCAAGTTATTTACATATATATATATATATATATATATGGCATTTACAGAGTAGTTACATACGTTGCAAATGTAGCAAAAACATATTCCCATTTTGAGGAAAACCTGTGATGCTGACCCCAGCAGGAGTCTTGCAGGGTGCATGGTTGCCTGGTGTTAGCATGCTAGTATGGTGGACAAGTTTGCCAAAGTATCTGATTCAAGGAAAAGGTTCCCTTTATTTAGAACTACATTCCTGACGGACAGTCAAAAGAGAGAACGTGCAGTAAAGCAGACAGAAAACAGAGTGGCTAAACATTCAGCATGAAGTGTAAGTTTGGTTTCAACATCCCAACGCAGAGCGTGTGATGCGTACCTGCGAGTCGTACAGCGAGAGGAGGAAGACCTGTGAGCCTTTTACAGCTCTGACTGTTGTCATCACTGAGAAGTCCACAGGGAATGGCGAATCTGCAGAAAATGCACACACACACACACACACACGCTCATATTAGGACGCAGGCTCTCAATGACCAAATACATTCACACCACACACTCGGTTATTTACTCCATCAAACGAGCTCACGCAGAGTTATATTACCAGGGAAGAGTTGATTGGTGGGCGCGCTCAGTTGAATCTTCTTGTCGATCTTAAAGGAGAGGTCCGTCTCCCCTCGTCCCTGCCTGCCGGTGCACAGCCCTGACTCCAACGACACGCCCTCCATATCGTCCGACAGCTCCAGGACCTTCAGGACGTCAATGGGATTGGCTGCAAAGAGACAAGAAGGACTGGTGAGTTCGATCTGCAGTTCCTCATCATCATCACTGGGCCAGCGCCTGCGTTTCTGAGGGTATCTCTGCATGCACAGAAATCTGCACTCCAGAAACACACACTGGCAAGCAGTGACTTTTATAAGCCCCTTTCACACATGGACTGAACCCTGGACTTATCTAGGCATTACCCAAAGAGCTGTATGTGAGAACGCAAATGTCTGAATCAGTTGGACCGGATATTAAACGGGCTTTACCCTGCCAGCTCCCTAGTGCAAAGTCTGTGCAACATCCGATTGAGCCCATGTGTGAATAGATTGTCTGGAGAACTCACAGCGAACGAGTAGGCGAGTTGATGTCGTTTCTATTATGCGACTGCTGCGAAACCGGAAGAATACAAACATCGTAGGGTAAAGAAGAAGGGTCAATTAGAAGAAAACGGCAAAGGTAAAATCAAACTGAGATTCGGGGACTTCTGTTGGTAAGGGCCGATGCTGGAATTGTCAAGACAAATTCAAGGAATGGCAAGAGACTCGGTTGTTTATGACCAAATTACAAACCAGTTACGTGACCGCAGTGTACTTTTGCGCCATGTCCTGCCTTCTGCACGCTCTACCCAGGTGCCTAAACCAAATCCAGTATTTCCAGGAGGTGAGAACACGTCTGACGAGCACAATCTCTGGCTACATGGGTGAAAGGGCAAGTGCATGTGAGAAAGTGGCTATTGACATGATCGAACTAAAGCTGCAGAGGCAAAAAAAAAAAAAATAGAAATATCGGTGCTTCTAAATGAGTTTCTGAGAGAGCCTTTAGTCATCCGCCTTGGACGGCCTTCTGCCCCAAGCCCTCATTTACAGAGCACCTGTGGGAGCCCTAAACCCCCACATCAGGACCCTTTGATATGAAAGAAAAAACACATTCACCAGCAGACTTAAAACAAGAAATAAGATGCAGTAAAAAGACAGTAGTTAAAAGTCTGTTTAAAGTGGCTTCTTTCCGATATTCTTGGACAGATAATTGAATAAAAGGACAGAGTTCCATCATTTTGGCCACTGACAAAAACTTCTTCACCAGTCAACTTTTTCGCTTTCACTGAGGGAGAGCACACAGGGAAGACGAGCGTGGAACCAAAGTATAGAGAAGGAATAAAGGCTTGCATAGGAATCAGAGGATCTGATTGTCTGGAAGATGAGCATCACATTGTGTTTGTATGTAATAGAAAGGATCAAGATAATGAGAATCTTCGACCTTTCTTCAAGTAATCTATGTCGTTACTATGTCGTTCACTGATCTAAAACTGCGTTTAAGAAGTCCTGTTATACTTCTTTTTAAAGCTGCACCATTCAATATTGTTTACATCACAGTGGCTCAAACGCTCTACAGAGCATTTAAAGCCTCTTTTAGCCTTTTTTAGGAGTTTTCTGACTCAAAACCTTCTCTTATCAACCTCTCTTCCAGCCGAGCAGAAAGACATTTTCAGCTAACCAGCTCTCATAAATCCACTATGCATTTCCCACCAAATAATTTGACTTTGATCAAAATCAAAGATTCTGAGCAATGGCACAAATACACAAACAAACCGGCAAATTCCTGTGAATGTACACAACTGTACATGTGGGTGATGCCAGCCCTATAATTAAGCTATCTTGTAAACAAACTAATGAAATACTTTTATCAGTCAGACCATGTGCTCTGTGTCTCTCTCTCTCTATGTCTTTCTGGGACACATACCTGTTGCAGAAGCTTAATGTATTCCCACGTAGTGTATTACGCCCACGTTGGCACGGACACATGCATCATCAGTCATTACACAACCAAGACTAATAGACTAACCAGAGGGCAGTAAATAATACATGTGCTGTGACGATGGTTCAGCCTGAGAGCAGACACACACACAAAAAACCCAAAAGAGACATTTCTAAAGATGTGGCCAGAGTCGTAGCATGAGCAGATATTCATATCGTATGCACAAGCACATTCTTTTGAACACTGTCGACACAATGCTCACAGAGATCTGTGAGATGGACTAAGAGGAAAAACATGGGATGTAAAGAGAGAAAAATGTGCAGCACATTGAAAGTGAAAAGGGAGAGATGGAGGTAAAGAGGGGAATAGAAGAAGTAATAGATGGCAGGGGAGAGCAGGGCATGCCTCTACTGGTGCGGCTCCTTTTCACACGTATTTCTGGGGCTTACGTAAACTCTCCATCTGCTCTGCACCTTTACACACACACACACACACACACACACACACACACACACACACACACACACACACACACACACACACACACACACACACACACACACACACACACACACAATGTCTGAGTGCCAGATGCATTTTTTGCCCTTTTATTCTTGTTTGGCCGTCTGCCAGCCTGACTGCTGGCATCCAGTCAGCGTGTAATTATGTCTTTCTGTGTGCAGCAGGGCATCGTATTATTTACTGACACAACTAAAACTACACTGTTCAAACTTTCTGTCGCTTCACGAGCTGCGAATCGACATTTAGAGGATTATTTGACATTATTATTTCAGGGATTTGTGCTCCGATTGTTCACTGCAGCTTGAAAAAGACAAAGCGTGCACTGAGTAACCAGAACAATAGAAATAGTGAAAGGTTTGTTTTTGTAACTATTACTGGAACTTTTCTTTTTCTGTGGTACAGTTTGAAGCGACATTTTGTGATGTGGTGTTTGGGTCTACATTATATTAAAAAGGTATTTTTATATTTTGCACATCTCAAGGATATAATGCAATCCAATACACACTAAACACACTAAATGGCAGGAAATAGAAAGAAAAAGCAACCCTGGCTGTGACCAAAGGCAACAAAATCGACCTACAAGTGGTGGTTTTATGGGGGGGGGGGTTATGTGCCAGACTATTTTCCCCGGCATCCAGTGTTTATGCTAAGCTCCGCTAATCGGCAGCAGCTTCATATTTACCATACAGATATGAAAGTGGTATCAGTGGGATTCATCTTATTATTAAAAACATAAACAAATGTGTCCCAGCAAAGTATTCAACAACAAATGCAACACAATATTACTATCATTCCAAGATTGTTGTTATTTCTTTGCGCTTCTCAAAAGCGAATTCACAGAAGGATTGAACAACTAGTGCTGCCTCTAAACCTGCACGACTAACACATAAAGAAACCGTGTGATTCTCAAAGCACCTGCCAAAGGCGGTGAAATGCACCACTAACTGCTCTGGCAAGCAAATAGCGTCTTTGTGCTCCTGTGCTATTTGCATGTATTTAAATGAGGTAATAAGCAGATAGTTGGTGCAAAATTAACCCTTTCTATGCAAATGAGCCTCATTGCAAAACACACGCCACACGCAATTACAGTGTAATTATTACTGTTTTCAGAGAGTTGATGGTAACTGGAGCGTATTTCTAAGAGGTGACACGCCCAGACTTTCCAGTAGTGATGGCAATGAGTAAAGCTCCCTTACATGTTTTAATTCATTTTTGAAAATGTATCAGAAACAAACAACTTATTTCTTTACTCTCCTTCTGCAACAAAAAGGGCAAATTGCACTCAGCTGCAAAACTTTACGGCCGTGTTTACGCCGTAATATCATTATCGCGATGTCTTTTGTGACTTGCGGTTGCAAGTGATGCACAATTCATTGTGTTATCACTAGCCGCAATCCATTCTTAGTGAATTCGCCCCTCAGTGTTTCTGAGTTTGGTCATTACAGTAGATGGACATGGAATGGGGCGGGGATTCTATGCAGTACTGCTGCTTTTCTATTGGTCCAGTAAACTGTCACACATATCCAGCCAGGAACTCATATTGTTCTTCTCATCTATAACTTTCAGCAAGGGGAGAAATAAACTGTCGAATTATTCCTTCAACGTCCTCCCACCCATTTTATTCTCAATATAAGAGATCCAAATTAGAAGTATTTCCCCACACAGTGTTCCAGCACTCTGGTGGTAATATTTTTCTGGTCAATTGTTAGCATGTCTAGCTACTAACACTCTTTTCTTAAAGCCATAAAAAAAACAGGCTTAAGGTATAGCTCCTGGTGTTCAGACATGTTCGAGCCATGGATAGATTTAAGGTGACACTGCTCCTGACACTCATAAGCAGTGTGTACAAGAAGAGGGGTTTCAGTCATACATACCAAGAAATGATCTGACATCTGAATGCAGCAGAGGACAAGACGAGACATGGAAACTCTCTGCTCATCTGCACTTAAAACACATCAGGTGCTGTTTCCCTATGCTGTCCATTCTCAGCATGCACAAGTACAACGCCCACATACAGTGGGCTTGTGCACAAAAACGCGCGCGCGCACACACACACACACACACACACACACACACACTGGGCTTTACAGACACAAAGTGATGTTCTGGTCTTCATCGGCTGCTGCCGGTTTCCCGAGGCTCTAAGGTGTTCGGGGGCAACACGATCAACATGCAGACACATGCAGAGCATGTCAAATGTAAGCCTCAACATAAAGCAGAGCAACCGTAGTTGCTCTGCTTTATGTTGTAAATAAGATAGATAGATAGAGTGCTGACTTTTAACTTTTAGGGACGTTGAGGTTGTTTACATTTCTATTTGTTGAACAATGTAGGACTCGTAGACATTTTCATACAAAGTTCTTCAATTGTAGGCTGCAGTGTCTGCTGGTCATAGTCATTAACTGCAATTTATGACAAGTACTAACAACGACTTTACTCACGTTTATGTGTCAAGTTACTTGTTATCCCTTAACATCCCTTCAACACTTGAACACTTTTCAAATCCAGTGTGCTGAAGTGGAGAGGACAAAACAAAGATAAATGTGCTCCTTTTTGAATACTTTCTGACTGTACTAGACGGATGTGCACTGATCCGAATCTTCCTCTACTGACACTGATTCAATCATCTTAGATTTCTAATCCAATACCAGGGATCTCTCTCCAAATATAAAACATGTAATCCACACTGTGTGGAACTTATTAGGAGGATTTCTATGTAAAGTGTGTAAGTGATACACTAAATTCTAAGATGTCACTGACACAAAAAAACTGTACGTAATGGATGGATGGAGGGAGGGATGGATGGATGGATTGATAGATGAAT